CCCCCCCCCCCATATATCTATAATTTTTGCCCATCTTAAAATTGGTGTAAGATTGAAAAACAGTGATTTATTTAGCTGCTGGGAATTAAACTCCTGAGGTTTTCATCAAAAAATCTTAAGGACTAGGAACCGGAGGAGGCCCTTGGCCCAGAGGAGATTCTTTTAAATCAGCAGTTAAGGAGCAGTTTCTTTTGGATGATGGGAATTGTAGTAGCCGGACAGGGACGATGGATGGCACCACCGGAGTTTGGGTTTGATTCTTTCTATTATCTATCTCAATTTTTCCCCCTGCCTGGTGGGCCCCAAACAGATTTCATCATCATCACCCCTCCCTTTGGTTCCAAGCCTGCACAGCCAGCCGGTGGGGCTGATGGGAGATGTAGTCCAGGTTGAAGAAAGCCTGAGCTGGGGGGGGGGGGGGGGGGGGAAAACAGCACTTGACTGGGCCCTTCAGACTTGTGGGGGGGAAAGGCTCTGTCCATGACTCCGACGCCCCCAGACCCAATTCCCAGCCTCTGAGCGAGCTGTAGGAGGGACTTGGCCCCCCAATGTCCCCAGACCCAATTCCGTCCTGCGAGTGAGCTGTCATGGGAGGGGGGGGGTTCTTTGCATCAGACCAGACCCCCGACACCCCCAGACCCAATTCCCAGCCTCCATGCAAGCTGTACGTGGAGGAAACTTGGCCCCCCAACGTCCCCAGACCCAATTCCGTCCTGCGAGCGAGCTGTCACCGGGGGGGGGGGGAGTTCTTTGCCTCAGATCCCCACGCCCCCAGACCCAATTCCCAGCCTCCAGAGCCAGCTGTGGGGAGGGGAAAACTTTGCCCCCCGACGCCCCCAGACCCAATTCCGTCCTGCGAGCGAGCTGTCACGGTGGGGGGGGAGTTCTTTGCCTTCGACCCCGACGCCCCCAGACCCATTTCCCAGCCTCCAGAGCGAGCTGTGGGGAGGGGGAATCTTTGCCCCCGACGACCCCAGACCCAATTCCCAGCCTCCGAGCGAGCTCAGCCCTCTTCCAGGCACCCACCAACCGCAACGCACCTTCCCGGGGTGCGTGTGTGTGTGTGTTACAGCAGGCTGCTCCGATCCTCCGCCCCCTCCCCAGTCTATCCCCCTCCCCTCCCTCCCCTCGTGGTGGTGGTGGGTGGTCTCCCCTCGCCCGGCCCCCCCTCACCTGCCACGCATCCCCAGGACGCCAAGAGCAGCACCAGCAGCACCAGCAACCGCGGCCCCGTTTCTCTTCTCCGAAGCGCCATCCTCACACTTTGGGGGGGTCACTCCGGCCTGGCTCAAGAGCCGGGAAGGACGGGGTCGTGCTCCGGGCTCCGGACTGCGGCTCGGTTAGTCGGTATCCGGAGCCGCCACCGGCGCAAGAGGTGGCTCTTGAGCCTTTGCAACCCGCCGCCTCCTCTTCCTCCTCTTCCTCCTCCTCCTCTGGCTCCTGCCTCCGCCTCGCATTGCAACGCCGCTGCAGCTGCAGCAGGGCCCGCCCGAGAAACGGGAACTTCCTGCCGGCCGCCCTTCCCTGGCCTCCGCCCGGCGCTGGCTCGGCTTCCCCCGAGCAAATCCCACCCCACCCCACCCCACCCTCCGAGGGCCAAAGTCCCGCGGGGCGCGCCCGGCCCAAGAGCCAGAAGCTCCGCTGCCTTTCCGACGCTTTCGCTTGCAGCAGCTGCAAGCTCTGTGTGTGTGTGTTTGTGTGTGTGTGTGTGTGTAAGGAGGGGAAGGGGGGCTTCTTCTCCTCCCCCGCGGGCAGGCGGGGGGGGTCGACCTGAGGTGGGGGGGCTATCCGGGACGAGAAGAGAGGAAGGGGAGGGAAAGGTTGGCGCTGGTCCTGCGCTGCGCCCTTGGGAGCGCTTGGCTGCTTGGGGGGAAGAGACCCCCCCACCGTGGGAAGGCTGGGGTGGGGGAGATTGGGGAGGGGGAGGGTCCTGGCTAGAGGCGGAGGGAATTGTCAAGGGTCGCGGGGTGGGTGGGTGGGTTTCTCCCTGGATGTTTGAAATGCAGAGTCTACCTTCCTTCCTTCCTCCCTCCCTTCTTTTTCCTTCCTCCCTCCCTCCTTCTCTCTTCCTTCCTTCTTTCCCTCCCTCCTTTCTCTATTTTCTCCTTCTGTCTTCTCTGTTCCTCCCTTCTTTCTTCTTTTCCTTCCTTCCTTTTCCTTCTTTCCTTCTTTCCCTTCTCTATTCCCTCTCTCACACTTCTCTGTTCCTTTCTTCTTTCCCTCCCGCCCTTGTCTATTCTTCCCTCCCCCTCTTCTCTTATTCCTCTCTCCCTCCCTTCTTCTCTATTCCTTCCTTCCTTCTTCTTTTTTCTCCCTCCCTTCCCTTCCCTTCCTTCTCGTTTTCTTTCTTTCCTTCTTTCCCTTCTCTATTCTCTCTCTCTCTCTGTTCCTTTCTTCTTTCCCTCCTCCTCTTCTCTAGTCCTTCCTTCACTGCAACTATAAATAATCCACAACTTATACAAGCAACTGCTGTCCAATGCAGACCCTTAAACCAGGGGTCCCCAAACTTGGCACCTTTAAGACTGGTGGATTTCAACTCCAAGAATCCCAAACTTGGCACCTTTAAGACTTGTGGACTTCAACTCCCAGAAT